CATTCTGTCCTTGAGTATGCCTGGCTGCTGGGCATTCCCCATAGGCATAGTTCCTGCATTAAGATGCTACCACAAGCCCCTCGGTCTGCAGCTCACTCTGCCCAGTCCATTTTCGGCAGCAGGCCCCACCCCTTGGAGGAACTAGAACCCCTGGGGAACACACATGTGCAAAGCCATGGGGTTCCATAGCATTGCAAAATTAAATTAATAAGTAGATAGAGAATAGATTAAAAAACAAATGACTTCAGGCCTATTTAAAACAGCATAATTGAGAGAGCTTGTTAACTTGTGTACACTGTGATTCCTCATTATTTCCAGTCTTCTTTCTGATGAAGACAGAAGTAAAATAAACTTATATACAGTATCATGTGTTATATATAAATAAAAAAAATAATTTATTTTATTTAGTTGAATATTTTCCTGTAAAAATTTAACTCCAGCACTCTGGAGGCAGAGGCAGGCAGATCTCTGTGAGTTCAAGGCCAGCCTGGTCTACATAGTGAGTTCTAGGCCAGCTGGGGTACAGGAAGACCCTGTGTCAAAAAGACCCCCCCCAAGCCCCCCCCCAAATTAGGTTAGCATAAGGCATTGGATTATCATGGCCTCTTCATATGCAGGTGCTGTCATGCTTTGCTCTTATTCACCCCTGAGCCCCGACAGACTATCTCAGCTCCCCTCCCTTCTCCAGCTATTTCGCTTTCTTCCCCATGTAATCTGCCATTTAAGCTTTACTTTCCATATGTTGGAGCTTTTTATTATGGTGCTTATTTCTGTGCTTTCATACTTTCACAGTTATAACTGTGGTACAATAAATGTCTATGGTATTATCTCTTGTGTATGCTTTACATTAATCATCCATTTACCTATCATTTTAATTCTTTTGATTTATGTGTGTATGTAAGTGCACCACATGTGTCCAATGCCCATGTAGGCTGTCCTGGTTTGTTTCTTCATTGCTGTGACAAAATACTCTGACCACTTGGGGAGGAAAGGGTTTATTCGGCTTACATCTCCCAGGTCGCAGTTCATCAGGGAGCCCAAGGTAGGAACTCAGGGCAGGAACCTGGAAGCAGGAGCTGGAGCACAGGCCGTGGAGGAATGCTGCTTACCTGCTTGCTCCCCTGGCTCCTGCTCAGCCTGCTTCCTTATGCAACATAGGCCCACCTGCCCAGGGGTGGCACCACCCACAGTGGGCTGTGCCCTTCCACATCACTCACCAAGAAGATGCCCCTCAGACATGACCACATGCCAGTCCAATAGAGGAAATTTCCCAACTGAGGCTCCCTCAACCCAGGTGTGTCAAGTTGACACTAAAGCTATCCAGCACATAGGCCAAAAGAGGGTGTCGGATCCCCTGGACCCAGAGTTATAGATGCTTGTTGGCTACCATATGGGTGCTGGGAACCAAACTCAGGTTCTCTGCAAGATCAGCCAATGTGCTTAACTGCCTATCCATCTCTTCAGTCCCTTCATTTCTCCAGTACCTATCATTTCTCTTCACACATGCACACGTGTACATTGTACAAACAGGAACACAGCATGGTATCCTGTCCTCTGTCATCTTTTCTTTTCTCTTTTTCTTTCTTTCTCACACTTTTTATATCATCTACTGATCATCTCGCTCTATCATCTATCTATCTATCTATCTATCTATCTATCTATCTATCTTTCTCTTTTTCTTTCTTTCTCACACGTTTTATATCATCTACTGATCATCTCTCTCTATCATCTATCTATCTATCTATCTATCATCTATCATTATCTATCTATCATCTATCATCTATCTCTATGTATCAAAATCAGTTCCGAGAAGTGCAATTACTAGATCAGAGGGTGTGTTTTTAACTAGAAATAGTGTTGACATTGTCTTTCATTGATTTGAATGTCAGTATTTACCTCACCAGTTTTAAAAACTGAAACAAAAATATTACATGCTTGAGGGACTGGAGACATGGTTCAACAGTTATGAGCACTGGTTGCTCTTGCACAGAACTCTGGTTTGGTTCCCAACACCTACATGACAGCTAACAACCGTCTGTAACTCCATTTCCAGGGGATCTGATGCCCTTTTCTGTCCTCCGCAGATATTGCACACAGGTGCACTCACATACATGCAGGTAATACACTCACACACATAAAATAAAAATAACAAATAAAATAATTTGAAAATTATTTGTTTGTAAGGTAGTAGTAGATTATTAAGTTTTATTTTCCAAATCTATCAGAGAATTGTTTCCAGTGGCATTTCCCTAAGTGAGAATGTTTGTGAGACTATTTTTCTTAAGATCAAAGCTACATTTCTTTCCTTCTTTTTGTAACTTTGTGTCTATATCCTACCTGAAAGTTAAGTAGAAATTTCAATAGTTTTTAAAATAAAAATTTTAATTCTCTCTCTCTCTCTCTCTCTCTCTCTCTCTCTCATATATGTGTACAGGTATGTGCAGGTGTTTGTACCTGTGTGTGTGTATATACAGAGGACACAGGGTGTCTTACGTTTTCACTCTATTCCCTCAAGACAGGGTCTGTCACTGAACGTAGAGACAGGTTGGGGACAGCAAGCTCTAGCAATCCTTTTGTTTCTGTACCTCATAGCACTGGGATTACATTAGCATATCTCTGAGCCCAGCTCTTTCTGGGGGGTTCTGAGGATTTGAATTCAGGCCCTCATTTTTCACAGCGAGAGTACCTCCGCTGAGCCATTTCTCACTTTTGTTTCCTTTTTGTAACAAAATTCGTAAGATAAGCAGATTCTGGTCATCTTCATTGGCAGATATTGCTCTTGTTACTTTCAAACCAATGGGTTGGTCCTCCACATGGCATTGCAATCAAAGAGAGAAAATGTACCAAGTTATTGCTACATCTGCTTTGGTTATGAGTCTATAATTATATTTAAGTGTTTCTGGCTGGAGATTGTTGTTTTTGAAAGTCAAATGATACCTATAGTGAAGAAAATTGTACCCAAAACACCTTTAGTTATTATTGCTGAGTAAACGTTACCATAATCCTTTTGCAACATGTGCTTTATCAAGGTTAATTGTTAGACCAGGCCTCAGTCTATCATTTAATACCTCCTTCTGGGACAGATTTTAATTGGATTTTCCTGTGACTGTCAATTCCTGAGTCGAAGTGAATTTTGAGGAGTCTTTTATATACTGTCTGGTTATAGTTTTGCTCACTCTGCCTCCTTCTCCATCCAGGATGTTTCCTTCTTGACTTTGTGTATAAGTCATATCTCTCACAGAGAGCATGAGTGTGCCACCAGAAGGGACCTGTAACCCTCTGGCAAAGAAAGAGTGCAGTGTGATAAGTATTGTAAAGATATGCCTGTAGACAAATATTATGAACAAGTAAATCTTTTATAAAGATAAATTGTGAAGGAACAATGACACATCAGCTGTCAGTGGAGCAGCTGGAGGGTCACTGGGGATGTTGTTGACAGGGATTTTGCTCTGCTCACAATGTTTATGAATGACAGGTACACAGGCCTTTGCTTTCCCTTAGGATATGTGCTTTATCCTCCATATTAATTTCTGTACTTACAAAGTGACTCTCATTTTGAAATCCATTTTACTTCCCAAGGAAATCAGGACATTGTTTTCTACAAGGCAAGGACTTATGATGGTCTGTTAATGTGCTTATGTGGTTGCTGAAAGTCTATTGTTCCTCTTTTGTTCCCAAGCAAATTATGAGAGTTTGGGAAACACTTTGATTGATGTTCTATTTTGTTTTTCCTATTATTTTCTACATTGAAACAAATAGCACATAATTTGATTATTATTGACATCAAAAATAAATTAGTTTAAGGCTGAATAGTGCAATCAGACTTCTTTTATATTCTGGAATAAAGACTTTTTAGAAATTTTCAATTGCCCTTTTCCTCATTTTGTAGTGTTCTGAGCTCCCTGACCCCAGCCACAATGGAGTTAGCCATGCAAATTGAATTAAATCCAAGGAAAGTACAACAGAGCTCCTCTGCAGACTTGCTTTCAGCATGGTTTTGGAAATCAGTCACAATGCCCATCTAACTGGAATGTCCTTAGCTCTTACTTGCTTTGTAATGACAGTGGAAGCCACGATGGCTTCATGTCTTAATGCTCTGCTTCCATTCTGTTAATGCTACACACTATGTCTTCTGGGGGTGTTTAAGTAACATACTTTAAGCAGGTGAAAAGATGAAATCGAGCATATTCTCAACAGTGGAGCATCAACATCCTGGAGGCTTGGATGAATCTGCTGGCCTCTCAACCCTTGTGTCTTCCTTGTTTCGCTGTTGCCTGCAGCTGCTCTCTACCCATCAGTTTTGCAGTTCACTGTTCCTCTCCTATTCATTAAATAGGAAACCATCCATTTATTGTTCCTACTATGTGTTGAGCATCATTTTAAACAAGGAAAAGATTAGCTAAAGACCTGGCCTCTCCTATGTGTAGAAGTGGAGGTGGGGTATCAACAACCAAAAAATCTGAATGGATATTAGGAAAACTCACTAGAGGAAAGTAAAAGAAGGTGGAGAGTGATGACCACAGCCAAAGGAAACTTTCCAGGAAAGGTAGCTAGAGTGGGGAGGTGATAGGGGGATACTGAGGTAGTTTTAATAGATGACTGGGATATAGTTTCATCATTCCCATGTAGCACTGTGCTGCAGGGTGAACATGAGTGACAGCTGAGCATGTATAAGGACTGGACATGGCACAATCTCAACTGACTTCTAGATTTAGCCTGGTATGGGTAGACACAGACTTATGACCCGGAAGGCAAGAACTGTTCTCTGAGCTGCAGTGTTCGGCCATCATCTGGCAGTGTCCTCTTAACTCACTGGAAGCCAATTCATCTGGTGGCCTCAGCTAAGTTTTAGAATATAATCTGAATTTTTCAAACTTTAGCAAACAGACAACAATAAACCCAGGAAAGGTAAAGGATTTGTGTATTCACTAAAACAAATTATTTTTATTCTCACATTTAAGAAGCAAATGATGCAAATTAAAACACAGACACACAGAGAATGAAAACGACTTCTGGATTTATATTTGTCAGTAGTATAGTTATTTACAAATAATCCATATGAAAATGTAAAAAAGCACATCACATCTCCACATGCTGTCTGCGTTAACTGAATAAAGTGTAGTGACAGTATTTGCCAATCTGTAGCTAACTGTACACAGACATTTTTTGCATTAAAAAGAAATGTACATAATTTAGAATAAATTATATTGCACATTTACAAAGCAATATTAACAAAAATTCATAGACAGCTGCCTCACTATTTAACAAAAAATAAATATCCAGGTAGTTAAATTAACAAAAAATACACTCAGAGGATTGTAATTTACAGAAAGATAGATTGTAAATTTAATAAAATTATGTTTTACAATAAGAGATACTGATCTCTTCAAATCTCTGTGATAAAACTGGGCAGGAAAAAATACCAGAAAGGGAATTTAAATTTTTACTTCTAAAAATAAACACAAATGTATTCCTGAAAAATATCTGGGAATTTTGTTGAGGCTTAAATTTAGGGAATTACACCTAAATCAGAAAACAAACACAAAAACAACAGTAAACCTGAGACCAGCTGCATTCTGCATATGATGAAGATTTGCATCATGGACAACATGACTCCAGCTGCTTCTGGGATAATGGTCTGCCTTGATAGAAGCAGGAAAAAAAAAACCCTGTAAAATTAACTCTATTTGTTTAACATTTATTTTATTCATTTAATATTACAGACATAATCACTTCCCATTGCCTTTGCTAGAGAAGAATTATTTTATCACATTTTACAACATCTTTTTGATTAAAACAAACAAACAAACAAACAAACAAACAAACTTGCTGGGCAACAGGTCAGTTTCAGAAACTGGAACTCCTGATACCCAGCCAGGACTCTGAGGGTGGGAGCAGGAATACTATTTGGACCTGAACAGGGAGATTTGGTTCTGACACCTGAATAAGACCCTGGAAGACCATATATATTCTGCAAGATTCCTTATACATTTGTTCATAGACTGCTGACTTTCCAACACCCTCAGTCTTTCAGGGAAACTAGAATAAAAAGCATTTGAACATGAAAAATGCTTACAAATAATGAGATTCCAGGTCATTCGACAATCATGATTTCTGCAAGTCTATTCAGATTCTAAATCCCCCTAAAAATGGCTTCTCTTTTCTGCTGACTATTGAAAGATGCGGGCCTTTTCCACTGTCTTGTAATATGGGGAGTGAACAAAGACTTTAGGTGAAGATAGGAGTAATGACATTGGGTAGCAATCCAAGTACAGGAACTGACATTCTCATTACCCCGCCACAAAAGGTTTTCTTTTCTTTGTTTTAGGGCATGCCATCTACATGTCTTTTCTTTTCCCTAATCCATTGTTTTGACAAGTGCAGTGTATTTAAATAAAAATGTTTGCATTCTAATTGATACTTTCATTTCAGTAGAAAGGGTCAATAAGTATCCTCGATTATTTTCTTATAGAAAACGTGGGCATGTTTAGTGGAAGCTGATTTGGAGGGAAGCAGACAATATTATAACAATTGGCAAAAGAATAGAATAGAGACCAGCAGTGAAAACCATCATAAAGGACCAAGGATACAACGAGTTTGAGCTAAATAAATGTGTCAGAATTGCTATTTCCTTCCTTCAGAAGCAGTGACTTTATCTTGAAATGTCCAGGTACGTAACAGGGTCTGTTTAAGCCACGGTGACCATTGCCATCTAAGTGAGGATGGAATAGGAGAAAAATCTCCTCCCAGCATATCTGAAGACACTTAAAAATATGTGGAAAGTGCTAAGCACGCTTATAAAGAAATCTAGAGTAATGTGTTCAAATGCAAGCATCTCTTATTAAGCATGTTTTCCCTCTTTTGAATGTCTTAGCAACCTATGTATACAAAAGCCATTACTAATTTTTATAGTGCCTAGCAGAGTGTCTTATATGTGCTAACCCAATAAATAGTTGTCTTGTTATAGGCAATTTGTGCTTTATTATAAGTAAACACATGCTTTTACATACTCCTTTTCAATTAGCCGAAGCTACACTCAGAAAAGCTTTGAAGTGAAGATTACAGTCAGTATACTGGATGGGCACTGATGGATAGGCAAAGCAGCCCCTTTCAAGAGAGATCACTCATGGCACTCTGTACAGTCCCTGCTGGAACACGCAGCAAAATCATACAGATGCCAGCACTTGTTTTTTCTTTTTTAAAACAGTAGACATTTAGACATTTGCACTTTCAGAACAATTTCTCTCTCTCTCTCTCTCTCTCTCTCTCTCTCCTCTCTCTCCGTCTTTCCCTCCATCCTTTCATTCACAGACTTACTTTTTGGTAAGGCAAAGGGGCCAACAGACAAATTTCCACTATGTTCCCATCTAGAATTACTAGAATGAACACGAAGAATAAGATTTTGATGAATTCTAGCATAGATGTCCTTATGAACTCAACAAGGCCATTTGCAGATGAGTATCATCCTGTTTGTCCAAATTATTCAAATAGCTACAGTCCCTTCTTTCATCTTTCTTACAAGAAGCCATCTAGAATTAATTTATCCTGACAGTGAGTATCCAATGTATTTCTCCTATATAAATATAGTGTAAAGTACAGCTAATGTCTTAATCATAAATAACTATCATCATAACCTTTCATAGTTTTTAATCACTTAACTAATTTGTTTCTTACAACTTATGCAGGTTAATGCTGATTTACCTTAAAAATGAGTCACATTTCACAATACCTTATGTATAACTTTAGTAAGAAAAATATCTTATCCTATTCCACATTTGAAGATTGTTAGGTATTGCACATATTTCATCAGATTATTACAATTTTCCCAACTAAACACAATAGATTAGATTTCTTAACTATTTTGGACAAGTGGAGCTTATTTTATTCAGCGATATCATCTGATGATTATTTGACTGTCCCCTGAGTATAGATATGTATTAACAATCACAGTTTTAGTGTAATAATATTATTTTTTCTTCCTCTTCAGTAAAACAGATGAAATAGATTTTGCTTTCATTCTTTACCTCAAATCCTTAGGATAAAGTGAAATTCTCGTCTTCTTGGGCTATCTGTTCTCTTGGAAATGACGTACATCACTTAGTACGTTAAATATCGAATAAAGAAGAAATAAAATATGTATATCGATTTCATTTAGGGGAGGAAGTCATCCTCCTACTCAGAATTCTTTAGTCATCTCTGCAATAACAGCACCAGGGGGCGCTCCACACCCAGTCTAAGAAGGCAAAACACCTGACAGCACAAATCACTTTTTTAGCAACACAAAAACATTCAAGATAAATTCACTGTTTTTCAAAAGATCAGAAATCATAACGATCCCCTATTACCAGTGACTGTTGTAGTAAACATTGCCTGAAATATGGTACTTTTTATCACCGCAGTTTCAACTTTCTTTTCATAACAAAGATGTCTGCCAGGTGAGACATTTCTTTAGTGAAATGTCTTCTACTGTGACATTTCATTAGTGAAAGCATAACTACTTCCACTGCAATCATAAATTAATGACTGTATTTTCACCCATGAAATTAAACATAGGTGGTACACAGAGGGTAAGTGAATGAAAACTAATAACGTTATAATGTAGAATTATCCCTAAAACAGAGTGGGAGGTGAGTCAGCAAATGAAGACATGTTAATACAGTCTGCTGGCTTTTTGTATAGAGTCCTACTGGAAAACACAGTGTCCATTATTTTTCTTGCTGGGTATCATCTGTGGCAAAAGTACAAGGTGGAAGGGTTGAGAAACCGAAATAACACCTGACCGAACATATGTCCTATCTGAGCTTTCACTGAAAGAGCTTGCTACCTTTGCTCTAGATAGTTACATATGCTCTGGACAAGACAGTCACTCTTCTCTTTTTAATTTTTGTTTTAAATAATACTGTTTCAGATTTTACCAGAGAGAAAGGGAAAAGACTATGGATTGTGAAATACATTCTGCAGGACAGGGTTTCAGTCTCAAACCAAGAAACCAAATCAGGAAGAAAGAAAATATCACACACAATTTTGATTTGTTTTTGTTATGAAAATCATTGCTACATCATTTTCTCCATCTGCTCAACATTAAAAAGATAACCAGTCCTTTTTTCTTTTCTTTTCTTCATTTTTTTTTTAAACAAAGATAACAAATATATAAATCTAGTCATAAACAGCCTTCGAAGAGCAATTACAAACCAACCGGGGCGGGGCGGGTGTCCACCTTTTGGAGGTTGATGGGTTAGGGAACCTCAGCACTTGAATTCCTGCTGTGTTGTCAATTTTGCAGTGCCTGTAGTGATGAGACAGACTATAGACAGCAAGTGTCATAATGGATCGAATCCCGTTACCATCCAAACTGAATGTTACTCTCGTCATAATACAAAAACTTGAAATGTCTCTGACACTCTTGGCACAGATATCTTCATCCCATTTGAAAAGAGGCAGTTTCCATGGCAGTACTGGTTAAGTGCCCATCCTGCTGCACTAATATAGTGCAAAAGTGTGCCTTCTATGTAGCAAAAAGATATAGGCAACCAGTTTGAAAATTAGGGACAGTAGAAATGTATTAACAGAAGCAGATTCATTTTCCAGACAATAACCACTATAAAATACTGAACTTGAGGACTCTGTCTTCTAAGATACTAGTACATGTCCAGCATTCATACATTGGAGAGAGACGAGAATGAAGTTGTATTAAAAAAAGAGTTTGTCTCTGAAATGCAGGTCAATAAAAGTTACCATCAACCACGGGGATGATGAATTGTTTAATGGATTCTCTGCCTAGCGGAGAGCTTACTTCTTCTTCACTGATTAAGCTGCTTATCAACAAGTATGTAATAGGATATGTTGTCTATCATTTAATCGGGTATACATGTTGTTATGCTTAAGTGTAGAATTGTAAAACCATTGACATCAACTCTTCATGCTAGAAAGTTTTGTGGGTTGATGCTGCAAGCAGCCTTGCATCAAACTTCCCAACTGGACAATTTCACCACTAAGTTTTAGAAATCAAAGTGGCATTTCAATCAGCAGATTTCAGAAAAGACACAAAATTCTCAAGACACAGCATGTCCTCAGCTCCATCTCCTAGAATGCTCAGGGTTGAAGGCCTACATGTCAGTGGCACTGGCTTGAATTCTCCGAGTGGCTGTAGGTTTTCATTCTTAAGGTGGTGTTCTTAACAGTTAACATGAATTATAATTCACACAGTGTGGACACACATTGTGGCCTCTGGATATCTACTACAGAGCCAGAAAGCCAAAAGTGGTTAATGGCAGGAAAACCTCCATGTCACATGTCAGCGTCTCCATCATATGCTAAGGTTAAAGGTTTCAGGCGGTTGTTTTGCCGTCTTTGGGGTTTCTTTGGCTTTTTGCTGCAAGAAATTAAAGAAAATTGGAAGAAAAAAAGTCATATTTTTTTTTGAAACAAGGGTCTCCCTGTAGTCCCAGCTGGCCCAGAACTTGCTGTGTAGAACAGACTGGCCAGGATCTCACAGAGACCTGCATGACTCTGCCTCCTGGGTGCTGGGATTAAATGCATGTGCCACCATGTCAGGCAAATTTTATTGTTTTAAATGAAAAAAAGGAAAAAGAAATGATAGATCTAAATTGCCTACTTTCCACATTGCCTAATTCAAGCTTAGAATGTGATTTTCTGAACTCTCTGTGTCTCACAGTTCTAAGAAAACATGTTAAATAAAGTTCAGGCATTTGACTGCTTTCTGAAAGTCAAATTACCCAAGTGAAATTTTGTTAGTGACAACAACTGAAGTGAGATTATAGTATAATCATCTGGGTTTGGCCAGAAATCTTTATAAATAATGCATGTTTACAAATACAGTTGAATAAGATTAGGTATTACCATAACATCTTCCTCTAGGAGAAATTCAATATAAAAATGTCTATTTTACATTGTTCATAAAAGCAACATTCTCTGGCATTTATGCATGAGAATAAAACCTTAGAAAATAACCCAGGACAGTCCTGGGTTATTTCCACAAACTAAGTGGCTGAGATATTGTAGGTTTTAGGCCATCTGATGTTAAAGTTTGCTTTTTAATTTAGAATTTTATGTATAGGTGGGATAAATCCAGGATAATTATTTGAGACACTCGCCTGCTGTTTCTGTGATATAGGCAACTGAAAGTGTTTTCTCTGAAATAACAACCTTATGCATCCCCTTAGATTCTGAAATGTTTAAACACTCACCAAGCTAGATAAATCATGGAGACCATGAAGACTAGCAGCACGAATGCCCCAGCTGCAACACCATAAACCCAGGTCTTTAGTCTCCCATCTAAGAAGAATGCATATTAGTTATTACTTTTTTGGGTCTTATATGACAGGCTTTAACTATGACCAATGATCAATTGCATACGGCTAATTCTCTTCAAGCCTCAAGAATTCTTTCTCAGCGTAGTTATGATTAATGTAAAGCAGCTACTATGAGTTAGATAGTGCTCCATGAAGGGAAATTAGCAATGAAAACTGAGTTGAAAAGCAGCAAATAGTGTTTGCCCTCTGATGCTGAGTTCATGTACTTAAACTTCTTATCTGACTCATCTCAAATTCTATATATGTGTATTGTTATATTCACAAATTCTTATAATTTCCCACTTTGGGAAATGGATAGCATACAAAAATATAGAACATAATACAATTTTGAGAAAGTTCTACAGCCCAGAGTTGATTTAGATGGTTATTTGATCATTCACTTTGTCATTTAAGACTTTCATCAGATGAGACAAGCATGTTAACTTAAGATTAATCTTTTATCTAGTCTATATTTAGAGTGTGCTTTGACAATATCAGCATTTGCGGAGGTACTCAGGGATATATATGAAAGGATTTCTAAACAGCTGTTTTCTACCTTTCCTAATATGTGGAATCACAGGATGAACATTTCCATAGTTCAGTTTTCTGGCTTCTTTCTCTTTGAACATCTCAGTTTTATGCTTTGAATAAACTTCAAGCATGAGGTGCTTGCTGTTAATGATACTGCTTAACTTAATTTGAGGTTAACATCAATGTATATTTTCTGTTGCCTACATGCAACTAAATATATGATATTAGTATAAAAATTAGAGGTTGGGCAAATTTGACCCCACAGAGACTCTGGCTTATTCAATATTTGAAAAGCATCAAAAGCAAATTAGCACTGGGATATTTTGTTCTTTAACTTGGAGCTGCATACTTAGAGGTCCATTTACTGGAAATAAGCTCAGTTAATATTGTAAATACACTGCTTTTCAATTCTAAAGATTTTAAAAGGGTTTATTTATTTATTATTTATTTATTTATTGAGCTGACTTTAGAGTCAAAAGACCTATTGTACTACTGGGTTTCTTTACTGTGAAAATTATTTAACAAGCATCCTTTAGATTTTTCAAAAACAAAGATGCCATTTGTTACCTTTTTAGTATTTTAATATATTTACTTCCAGGCACCACATTAATGGAAATAAACTACCTCAACTGCAATAATGAATTAATGACTATGCATTCATTTTAAACATATGAAAATAATTTCTTTAAATTTTTTTTCTCACTTTGTGGAGAACTTCTTGGATTACTATTAAGGTCAAGATTGGTAACGGTAATTTGCTATTCTACTTGAACTCTGAGAGAAGACTTTGTTCAGCTTATATAGACAAACCATGAGTTTGCAAAATAAATTGTATTTTCAGCTAAAAGTCTAGTCAAAGTAGAGATTACATGGATAAAGGTAATCATCTAGATGTTTAAAATACCTTAAAAATTCAATATTGATTCCTTAATAATGAAATATAGTCTGATTAAATGGATTCGAAGTAGAGATTTTTCTCATATGTGAATTTCTTCCTTCAGTTCTATTGTTTCTAATGGTATTACAAAGTTGGCTCTTCCGCACTGAGAGAAAAAGAGGTATAACCCTTGCTGCTCTGGAACCCTTGCAGGACACGTTTTGTTTCTGGTTATGAGTGCTCTTTCGATTCCAGTTAGGGAGAAAGAGTGAAAGTAGGGAGCAGCATTTTCCTAGGCCTTCAAACTTCCACCTATGCTGGCTTCAAGCCTGCTCCTGGGTACATTAAAAGGCATCTGTTTAATATAACAATGGTCTGGTCAACATCTAAGTTTGGATCATCCCATACATAAAAGAAGCCTCCATCCTTGCCTCTGTGTAAATGATATCATATAGAATGAGAGTTATTGGGATATGGCAACTTAAAGAGCTGCTGATAATTGGTTGAGCAACCTGGCAAGGGGCTGTATTTCTGATGTCTCTATTATAGTTCATGGATGGTCTCTGTATAGTCAAACTGAAACTTTCAAATGCCTTTATAGTTTTATTTGTCCCTGCTATGAGTGACAACTTACTTTTCTCCTAATTAATATTTTCATTACTACATTTTTATTCAATGTGCATTGCAATGCAATGTGAAAGCAATGCATTTTGTGTCCACAGTGTCTCGTTGCTTCACCTGGACCAAATGGCTGTAGAAACCAGGTCCTGCCCCGTCCCGCTGGATTACTGGAGGATTGGGTTGGGTGAACTGCCCGACTGGTTTTCACATCTCCTCTTTTGTCCTCCACAGTGGGAATCACCACCACGGGGATAAGTGTGCATTGCTCAAGTGTGCTGTTGGAGGACATGACTTCAGTGTACCCTTCTTCACAGCGGCATGCCTTTGTCTGCAGGAGAACAAGAAGCTTTACACTAGGCATGCAAGGTGATCTTGGAAAGCATACATGAGCATACTTGCAAAAAGGAAGCTTTAGAGGAAAAAAAAATCTCTTAAGTTGTTTAAGAGAATTTGCCACATGCAAAATTTCCATTAAAAAAAAATAAGCAAACCCTACAACTACACAAAGTCATTCTAAAAAGTAAATGCATTCAGAGTTGTTTACATTGTTAAAAAAAAAAAGATGCTTAGAAGTATACTGCTTCTGTCTCAAGCCATGGCTCTTTGGGGCAGGAGGATGGGCTGCACCAGACACAGTGGGGGTGAGGAATGATGGAGGTGGCCTGTCCATCTTAATGAATGTGCACATACCTCGCTACAATATGAGTGGGGTTGACTACACGGTGGGTTACAAGACCTGTCAGCGTCAGGCTGGCTCATCACCAAGCAGCCCCCTGCAGAACAGAAAATCATATTTTGACAAATAGCTCCTCTTGCTGTGATGAAAATATACCATTGTTATAGACTTGCCTTTGAATCTTGAACCACTTTAGAAGTCCTGAGGCTTTTTTGTATGTGAAATGTCTGGTTAAATGTCACCATTTTATTCAGTTACTTGAGGCCTTTCATAGCCAGAAGATAGAACCATTGCTGGCACTTACCACGTACAACATGCGTTTTCCAAAGGGATAATTTTGTAGCTGCCATTTTTGAAATACCAACTGTACTATAATTTCTGACAGTAGTTCCTCAGGCCAAGCCCCACAATAGAAAGGAAGATTTTATTTTATAGTTAAAATGTTTTTCTTGGTTACTCAAAACAGTAGTTTTCAGGTCTCTCAAAATAAATTTTCTTTTTTTGTTGTTCTTTTTGAGATAGGGTTTTCCTGTAGCCCCAGATGGTCTGGAACTCACTATGTAGACCAGGCTGGCCTCAAACTCACAGGCCTCTCTCTGCCTCCCAAGTACTGGTATTAAAGGTGAGTACCACCATGCCCAGCCCAAGAATTTTCAATTTATGTGACCACAATATAAGCATCTTTTTATAGTACATGTTTGCTTTTGAGAAAAATCACAGTTATCATTAATGCAGGTTATTTGATGGAATATGGGGAAGAAAACTAATGTTGCCACCAAGTCTTGCTTGTAGTATTTTCCAAATTGCCATCGAAGTCATTTCCCTCTTCTTTATTTTCAGCTATGATACGAACCATGCCTCAATTGTGTGACACTTTTTAAGTTGTTAATAGATGTTTCAAAGAAACAATATTGGTGACATAGAAAGAGTTTCAAAAAGAGTTTCATAGAAATTTACTCAGTTTAATAAAACTTTAGCAAAGCCAATTCTTTTCTATATCAATTGAACTTATGATCCTCTGGATCCAGTCTAAGATCCCATTGTTAATTCTTCACTTTTCTCTCAATATTATGACATCAAAACATTCTTGGAGAAATGGTTATGGAAAAACACTTAGTCATTGCAAGGAAAATGTACTTAAGTGGCCATATTATCTATCATCAAACATATGAAGAGAAAGTCAAGAAGTATGAATTTCCTATAAAGATGATTCATAAATTAATACAATTGATTTTTGTACTTGTCTATTTTCACAAAGAAACTCATCTAAACAATGGAAAAAATGCATCTAGATTTTTATCATAAATCATTTACACATTGATTTTTTGGACCCATAGAGAAATAATTATACACTGCTCACTTTGTTGTACTGAAAATAAATTTAAAATGTGCTTTGTACTGGTCACTCTTCAATTGGGGACCAACCCCAGTTACAGTGGGAAAGAACTTTTAACATTAGAACAGGCAGACAAATATTTCTTGTCTCTATTTTTGAAAAGGAATTCAAGCTAATAGAACTTCTGAGGAAATTATTAAATTCTCTTCAATAATTATGTGCCTTTGAGTTAAATGGATGACCTCTATGACACCTGGCTTGGAAAGACTACAAGTTCCTGTCCAGGGCTTTTCTTATTCCATTACTCTTAGGATGGAGTCAAGAAAGATTTCTTTTCCCTTCCCACAGATAATACTATTGAGAAAACAAAGAGTCTCTTGGAGGAGAATTTTCTTTTTATATATTATATGTCCACTTGGAGATGCTATTATCAAGGGCTTCTTGATACAGCCTTCACATAAATAAAATCCTGTCTTCAGAAGAATATAATTTGACATTCTGTTCTAACTTTCACAGGGAGGAAGTAAGTAATTATGTTTCAATAATCCCAGGTCACTTAAAATTCAATATAAAAATCGATGTTTTCCAAGAAGTGCATTGATCCCTGCTCCTATGATCTTACTGCATGTATGAAAGTTAAATTATAAATAGACATTACTCGGGAACACCCAAGTGTACGGTACTTTTTTCTCTGCAGAAGAGTTGAAACAAGAGCAATAAGCCAGCAGGTGCCCTAGGCAGGTGCCTGTCAATACTGACACTGCCTTTCTGATGTGGAGATTCTTGGAGACAAGATTATTTTTAGAACTTAGTTAAGGAGAGCATTTGATTTTGGGATCCATGCCTCTGCGGTTAGGGTTCTGGTTCTGACCTTCATTTCTTCCTAAGAAATTTGCAGACAATTCAATACATATTTAGCCTGAAGTCTCTTTTCCCTTTAATGGATGCTTGGAAGCTCTCAAGTTCACTGTGTTCACAGAAAGAACTTGTAGATTAAACCGGTTCTTCAGAGTGTCTTTTAGTCACAGTACAACAAAAACCTTCTTTTTGATTTCTTCTTTTAAAAATATTTTATTTACTATTTTACTTTGTGTGTATTGCCTGCATGTATGTGAGTGCATTGCCTGCATGTATGTTCAGTGTACTCATGTAATGCATCGGATCCCCTGGAACTGGAGTTATAGATGGCTATTAGCCACTATGTGAGTGCTGGGAATCGAATCCAGGTCCTCTGCAAGAGCAGCCAATGCTCTTAACCACGGGGTCATCTCTCTAGGCCTGCTGGGTTTTTTTCTTTAAAGTATAATTGTTTGTGATAAGGACATAGTAAAAGTACTTCTCAGGTGCTCTGGGTTTGAGACTTTACTGATAAATCTTCCTTACTAATCAATGAAATGTCTTAATCGTAAATTGGATTATTCAAGTGAATTATTCAAGTTTGTATATTTAGACTCCCTGGTCTATATAACTTCAAGGTACCACACAGCAGAAATAGTGAAAACACAAAATTATTATTTTCTTTGTATGTAGTGATTTGAAAATGAGAAAATTACTTATAATCATTTATTAGAATTGGCCAATATTTCTATTGAATACA